CCCATTTTCAGCCAACCAACTTCTTCTCCTTAGGAGGGTCTACCAGTTCCCAAGACTTATTCTTGAGTAATACCCTCATCTCCCTTATATATATATAATGAGGGAGAAAGGAATAAGTGTGACTATTTGGATTACCTTATGGGTAATATAGACTTCCCTTTTAGTAAGAGGCAAGTGCCTCCAAGTGGAGCTTTTAGAAAGAAGTGAGCCTCTAGTGAGAGAAATGATTTGCTTGTGACTCAAGAGATTTTTTTCTCTTAGAGAAGTAGTTTTTATGGAGATGATTTTAGGTGGTATCGTGTTTGTAAAGAGAAAATCAGTTTCTCGTTGTTCTTGTATCTATATCTAATGTATTCAGTAATAGTAGCTAGAAGTAAAAAAAAATGAAGAACGAAAAGAAATCATTAGTTTGTACAGAGAGACAGTGTAAAGAGAGGAACTTTGTGAGATATTGAGTTTGTCTCTGATTCTTTCATGTAAAAGCTATCTTGTAATTTTTTTTCTATTCTGCCTTTTTTTTACATTATCTCTTTCTGTTCTTTTTTTTACTTGCTGTTGGTTGTGTTTTTCTTGTTCTTTATTTGCTAAAAATTAACTTTCAGATGTTAGAGCTTCCGTACATAACATTCACATATTTAAGAGAACCGCACAGTCGTGGGACACTAACTTGGAGCTCTACGAGGGCGTAAGTGTAATTGGAGTTAGTGCTATGATATTTTAATTTCTCTATCCTCTTGTACCACTAGAAATTAGAGATGTCTCCATCTTCCATCTCATTTGGATTAATAAGTTAAAGGCGTCTTCTTTTATCTAGAACTTTTCAAATTGTGACTGGTTCAAAAATTAGAAAAATGATTTTGAGCTTTTAAAAACCCCAGATCAAAAATTAAAAAAATGACTTATTTCCAAATGAATTTTTGTTTTTTCAATTGGCCTGGAGAAGAACTAAGATGATTTGAAATCATTGGGGACAAACAAATCCTCCTAGGACTTTGGCCATTGGACAAAATGTGCAATTGGCCCCATCAGAACACCAACAAATCCCCATAGTTAATTTGGAGCAAATTTTTTCTCTAAATCATTTATAATTGATCTTAGAGAAAAATTAAGATGATTTGAAATTTCAAGGTCAAACAAATCCGATAGCGCCCTGTTTGGTTCCCTAGAAATGGAACTCATGTAGAATGTGTATCCTAGAATTGGTATTTCCTGAAATTCGTATTTCTTGAACGATGAGTGTATGTTGTTTGGAACGTTGGATCGCATCTGGCAGAGACCAAGCTTCACTGTTTGGATTGCCAAGTAAATGTATCTTCAAGAAATTCAAAAATTTTCATTGTCATTATTTTTTTACAAATAACCATTTTCAATGTTGTGATTATTGTAACTAAGAATCATTAAGGTACTTCTTTTTAGTGTTTGTCCAAGTGAGGAATAAATGGCAACATTTAAAAGTTGCCAAGTCAAGTTTGTTTTATGATATCTAACAACAACCAAAACTTGAGGCAAAAATTGAAGAATTTCTTTTTATCAAGTTCAAATATAATACCCAAACTTGCAAATGTGATGTTCCTTCATTCTAACATTACATTTCACGTAACATGTGCATTCAGATATTAACATCATAATTATTATAATTAAATAACAATATAATATTATTTTATTAGTATCAATATGATGTTATAACAATAATTATTGTATTATTATTATAGTAATTTTATTATTATTAAATAGTAATATAATATTATTTTACTAATATTACTATGATATTATAGTATTATTGTATTATTATAATATATTAGTAAAATATAATATCATAGTAATAATTATTATAATCATCATCATCATCTAAGTCTTATCCCAATTAATTCGGATAAGCTATTTATAATAATTATACAATATTAGAATATCGTTTATAGCTATTAATATAATATTATATAAAATATAAATATTTTTATAGTAATATAATGTAATATTAATATATTAAGATAATAACATAATATTATATTATAAAAAATATATATTTAAATGATCACTATGTCAATAATAAATATATAAATACTATTATTATTAATAATAACAGTGGTAGTAATTGTTAATAATAATAATAACAACATTAGGGTTCTGACTTTTGATTTCCAAGAAATGTCAGTTCTACCGATTTGGGTGGAATTAATATTTCCTAAAATTTGACTTAAAATGAAAATGCAAGACTCCCCCATAGAAATGTTAATTATGTCTTAAGAAGGAACCAAACATGTTAGTCTAGGCTGTTTAATGGCAATGTGACTTCAGGATTCCTATTTTTAGGGAACCAAAAGGGCGCTAGGTGTTTTACCACGGTGGATAAAAAACCAATTGACTCAAGAACAAATTGTTTTCCTTAGTAATACAACATACTCCTATACTTTATATTCTCCAAGGATATTTTTGTATTAATTTTTAGAGGTCATAAATTAAGAGAATCTCCATATTTATCAATGGATGAGGTTTCTATTTATGAAAACAAAATAAAGCCTCACCCCAAATCCTCATCCGGAAAGTACTTTCGGCGTTAGGAATATCTGAGAACTCTAAAATCAAATTATAACAATGATGATAAATTTAAAACTAAAAAATGGTACAGATCTTATAGATACGTGAACACTTATTTTTAAGGCGAGATGGATGGTCTAGATAATTTGTTACAAAACATATTATTTTTCGAGCTTGAAACTCTTATTTTTTTTTCACAACTATAATGTTGAAGTCAAGATGAACGATGTAAAGGTTTTCCGGTGCTTGAATTGTAAAGGTTTTCCGGTGCTTGAATCGTAATTTTGGACGAGTTATGGGGTTAAACTTTACTTACTTTGATAGGGCTGCAGCCCTATCAAATCATTTTCCTTCTTTTAATTTTGCACGTCTAAAATGTTGACATGGTCTTTATTACTTTTTTTGGGATGGTCTTTATCCCATTAAGTTTGTACGTAATTAGTTATAAATGTGGTTGGAGAGAACCACAAGCCTGGGTTCCTTATATGGAAATTTTTTGGAGGTCAACAACTATGACTCTGTCAAATTTCGCCCAAGAAATCGCAATCTCCTTTGACTTACTCCCTTCATTAGGAGATAGAAAGATTTATATGCCAAAAGATTTATGCTCATGAAGTAGCATATCTAAGATTTACTCTCTCGGGAAAACACTACTTAGGAATATTTTTAGGACTCCAATGTGTTTTGGGAATGTATCCTCTGAATAACCTCGAGAAGAAAAAGGAAAATAATTATTGTTTCACTAGCGATCTAAGATTGAATAAAGACCATCCAATTTTTAGATGGTGAGATCAAGTTTCTAAAAAACTGAAATTATAAAAATACATGTTAAGCGATTTTTAAGGGTATCCTAAAACTTTAAATTGAAAAAAACCCTCCTAGATAGGTCTTGTGCTGGAGGGAGTATGTATACAAAATGCTCCCATCAGAACACCCAGTATGTACTTGGCCAATTTTAAAAAACAGATCCGTGACCTGTATCACCCCTTTGGGTTTTGGATCCGGTTCATCGGATCATATATCTAGTCTACAAAATTGGAATTTAAAAGAAAATTTAAAAAATTAAGCACGCTTTGGTTCTAGCCAGTTCTATAACACAACTTGCTAATTTTTTCAAATAACCAGCCATATCTAGACCAAACCTGCCAATCAGTAATTAACAAAATTTAAAATAGAAAGAAAAAAAGGTGGAGTCAGTTCGTACCGATTCTCTAAGAGAACCGATTGGTTTTGTCAAAAAACTAATATGAACCGGCCAGAATAGGCATGGTCGTAGGGAAACCGACTGATTCTTGATATTTTATAAGGTCCAAATCAGCCTGACCTAGCAATCCGTTACCATCCAGATTACCGACCTGTACAAAGCACGGCCGTCTTCTCTAGTCCATAAAATATGGCAGCATGCAGTGAAAGAACATTGTAATGAACGAGAATACAAAAGCAAATGCATAGAGAGAATGTCTTAGGATTCATAAAACAGTGTAGGGGGAAGAGAGAGAAATTCCTTTGGGAATTGGGATTGATGAGTGAGACAAAAAATATCCAATACCAGGACCATGCGGAGAAAGATAAGAGAGAGAATTTGGTACATGAGACTTAATTTAAATTTATTTTGACCTTGTCTTTAGATCCAAACGAACAATTCCCCTCATTGTTTGGTCCAAACTGCACTGTCAACTCTCAATGAAACCAAAGAGATATTTATAAGGCAAATAGACACAAAGATAAGCATCACATAAGCGTTCCCTCCAACTCAAATCACCATTTTTTATTATCTCCTCTTCTTCTTTAGCTTGGTTCCTTGACTCTGTCTCTCTCTATAAATAACCCTTACCCTTGGAAAGATGAGGAAGACACATCGTGTTTCTGATCACCAAGATGATGCTTCTTAGACTTCTCTTCTTGCTCTTCCTGCTCAGTTTTGCAGCGGCCATCCAGCCACTTTCCGGCAACAAGTACGTAGAGAGAGAGAGGGAGTTGAACTTTTCATGAATCTTGAGTATGTGGAATAGGATTCGTTTTGCTGGTCCAGAATGGCTGGGATAAAGCTATGATGGTGATAATGATGATGATGATAAGGAAGTTACAATTGCTACTAGCCATTAGATGTCAAGTTAGATTGCTTGAAGTGTGTCATGAAATTCAAGAAGTTCGTTTTGAACTTTAAGTCTAGTCAATGACACACTCATATAATCACATCCACTTGATTTGAAATCTAACATAAAAGTGCGATTGTGACCTTCTTGTATTAAAATTAATTTGTGTACTCACGTATAAACTTCCAAAAAAATATTGAGAGAAAGAGAGAGGATTTAAATTCTACAAATGCTAATAACCATCTACTTTTCATTTTCTTTAGGTTGTTGGGATCATGGTTTGGAAGAGGATTTCAAGTCTACAAATGCAAATCAGGAAACTACAGTCTTGACCATGCAGAGGCAACGCTCTATGGGTGGGGTGCTGCAAAACATTCGAAACCTGACAGCGTTGCCGGACGCCACTACTTCCTTCCTTTTCCTGATGGTGCTGGCGGCAGACCCACATGGTCCTTGTCTGATGCCCAAGGCAACCCTTCTAGCACTGTCACTGGTTAGCAAGAAAGACCATCTCCATTTTGCTCTTACATTATGATTTGAAATATTCATATAGAACAATTTTTGTCTTTATTTAAGTCGTTTAATAGGGAAAATGCTTTTTCTAAATTTTGACAATAAAATTTTATTTTATTTTTAACCTAGCAAAAGAAAATAATATGAAAAATATAATTAAAATGGTAAATCACCAAAAAAAATAGTGAAAACAATCAATAAATTAACGAAATAATTGTCTAAATAAGACCATTTCACTCAAGTATCTCTTCAAGTATATTGTCAGGGGTTCATAAAAAAAAAAAAGTGTTAAAGAAGTATAACAAATTACTAAAATGTCCCTATTTGATCCAAATTCTAAAACCTGGAATAAGAGATTTAATAAAAAGAAATGTGTTCTAGGTTTAGAACCTAGAATAAGCGGGAGTAATTTCATCATTTAGCTTGACCAATTTAAGTCATGTCAAATGATAAAATACCTCAACTCGTTACGGGTTCCAAACCCTTGAACAAGAAGTTTTAATGACAAACAGGCCTTGGGTTATGATCTAGGAATAAGTAGGAGTATTTTTGCCATGGGTAATGAGTAGTAAAATTAGCCGATCCCAAATAGTTGGAAAAAAACTTCGAAAGTGATTATGATACCTGAGCTGTAAAACTACCACAAAATACTCCCACTAGTCCATAAGTCCTAATGCAGGACAAAGACATTGTAGGTACGTTTAACCAAATAATTAAGGAGGTGCTTAATGAAATGATCTTTTCGAGTAATCACTTCATCAATAAATTAGTTGATTTGACCACTTTGTGGTTTTTTTAGGTTGTTTTGACCATTTTAATGATACTTACTCAAAAATAATAATAATTATCCTTAAAGATTACATAATTTATGTAGGTGCCTTGAGAATACAATATGAAAAATTGTGAAGAGTTTGTAACGCTTCCTAAAGAGGATAGATAGTGACAATCCTCAGGGAATCTTCTTAACTAATATTGTGGGGTAGTGGATAGTAGAGTTTATAACGCTTTCTAAAGAGGATAGAGAGTCACAATCCGTGGGGAATCTACCTTCTAATATTGTGGGAGGGATTATGCTCTTTCTTATTAATTCATTGGTGGCAAACAATTTCCAATCTCCATCCATTGATGGATTATCTAGTATCCAATTATATGAATTTTTTATATCATGAAGTTGGAGAGTTTTTTTTTTTAACTTTGAATCTATTCAGTGCCACTTTAGAATCACCCGATTTGAAATCTGATGGACAAGAACGTTTATGCCTCTTTGTACCAAAAGTAAATGGTCTTTTCGTATGCTTTTCTTTATATATTAAATTTTGTAATATTTTGTCCGTGTGACTTCTAATTTATTCCATTTATGTTTACCTTTTGTTCCATTTATGTTTATTTCCTATCTAATTTTATCCTGATCTTTAATCTCTACGAATGACCCCACACGTATAACGGCATATATAGAGGATCGGGTTTAGAGAGGAAGAGCTACTCCTTATTCTTTAATTGTCAGTTTTCTTAAAATCTAGGAGAGGCCTATAACCCATATTTCCTTTTTTTGGGGAAGTTTTATAATTTATAAAACATTTCTAATCTAATTAGAATTATACAATATGAATATTAACATGATTAATTTATTTTTATTTTATTAGCATTATGACAATTATAATTATCATTAATTTTTAATTGTAATTAAAATTATTATACATTATTCTTAATTAATTATTTGAACTATAAATAATAATTCATATTTTTAATTAGGGCAAGTTTTCTACGTTTCTCCTACCACATAAAACTTTTATATTTCCTCTTATCCAACCGTCCATTTTGAATGGAAGGCTAAGATTGCCCCAATCACAATGTCACATCTCTACGCTATTTTATTTCAATTTTTTTAATAAACTATTGTGACACCAAAGTTTGGACGTCCAATATAAAAATTGCATCCGTATGCAAACTGCACCTATGGATGCATCCGTATGCAAACTGCACCCAAATTATAATTATAACTATAAATATCAGCGTAATTAGATTTAAATATTCTAGCAATTATTTATATTATTGCCACTTAGTTATTTTAATTGAAATTATGGTAATTAGAGAGTATTATTAGTTAATTATGAAAAATATACTAAATTGTAATTTAATTGATTGTAATTATTTTCTGAAAATCAAATAATTTTATTTATAAGTAACAAAATTATCATAACCATTATTATTCTATCTTAATCATACAGTAACATTCATCATTAGGAATTGATATGGTTATAATTTAATTTCTATATTAAAGTATTTTAATTTTTAATTATTATAATTTTTAATAATTGTCATACAATATAAATATTCATTGAAATATTAATAATATAGTTGTAATATTGAAATGAATACTATGATAATTAAAAATAATAGAATCAAAATTAAATATTATGAATGTACTATACTCATACATTTAATTGTGTAATGGAAAAAGTTTATATAAGGTCTCAACATGTAGAATTGAGATGCACCTGAAAATTATATCACAAAGGGATGTTTTGGTCTTGAAAAACCCTCTAATTGATCTTTCAGTATGAATCCGTCGGTCATGGGCTCAGTCCGGGTCCAAGTTATTAATATAGAGGGTCGGGTCCAGGTCTTTGAAGTTATGTTGGGTTTATCCCAAATGTAATTGGGGTGATCGGCCCAACCCGACATGATATATTATATAAAAATATATAATATATTATGGCCTAGAGTTGGCCCCATATGCCCATCAGGTAGGGGGTCTGTCCCACCACCATAGACCCGTCTAGCGCATGCCCAACCCGAATCGACCACAGGAGCGTACACCCCTAGATACTAGGTAGTAGGCAATGCACTGGTCCCTAAAAATGTGAGTTTTGAGACATAAATAGGGGGTTGTCTAGGTAAGAATCCCAAAAATATTTTGTAACTAGAAATTTGATTTTCTCCATTTTTTTTCTCAAAAAGGAATTGAGAAAGAAAAAAGATAAAAGAATAGAGACTACCCTTTTCAAGTTTATACATATGAGCAATGGTTTAAAAAAAAAGGATCGGTGACCCCGATTGGGCTTTCAAAAAACCGATCCGGATCGGTGAATCGGCGATTCGGATCGGGAATCGGGTGAATCGGTCAGAATAAAAACTTAAAAAAAATCTGAAAAAATTATTAAAATTCATTATAAATATTTTTTTTTAGGAATTCAATAAGAAATGAGGGTACTCCATTAAGAATTTTCATGTTTTTGAATGAATATGCGCATATTGATATGTTCTTTCTTTGCATGAACCGCCATTCAACATTTAATTTACATCACACAAAAGGATAAATATGGAATTATCATGGAATAAATATATCAACATACATGGACTACAATAAAGCATAAAATTAGTAACATATGATCTAAAAATAAAATGATAGACGACGTTATTGTTCTTCTTGTTCACGTTGGTGCCATTGATTGAATTTGTTTAACAATTCATTGATTCGATCTAAAAATGAATCATTGATATTAGCAAGCGTTTGACTATTCCCAAATCCCTGAGTGTTAGTGTTTTGTTGTGTTCCCAATCTAAAATCCCCGAAGATTGTCCATCCTTCATGCTCACCTGTACTGTTGCTGTTGGGACTCGATATGTGAATAATATGGTTGGGATAGGGTGGCCTCAGAATCATCATCTCTCTCATTTTCTCTTTGAATAATATGGATTAAAAAATAATAATAACAAATTTTCAAAAAAATCGATCATAGATTTAAAAAAAAAAATCACAAATTTTCAAAAAATTCTATCATGGATTACAAAAAAAATTCGATCAAGGATTAAAAAAAAAAAAACACAAAGTTTCAAAAAATTCTATCATGTATTACAAAAAAAAATTCGATCATGGATTAAAAAAAAAAATCACAAATTTTCAAAAAATTCAATCATGGATTACAAAAAATTCGATCATGGATTACATAAAATTCGATCATGGATTACATAAAATTCTATCATGGATTACAAAAAAAACAAAAAAAAAAAACAAAAAATTCAATCGTGGATTACAAAAAAGAAAAAAACAATTCGATCATGGATTACAAAAAATTCAATCATGGATTACAAAAAACTCTATCATGGGTTACAAAAAAAACAAAAAACAAAAAATTCGATCATGGATTACAAAAAAAAAACAAACATTTCGATCATGGATTACAAAAAAAAACAAACATTTCGAACATGTATTACAAAAAAAAAAAAACGTTTCGATCATGGATTACAAAAAAAAACAAACATTTCGATCATGTATTACAAAACATTCGATCATGGATTACAAAAATTCTATCATGGGTTACAAAAAAAAAAAAACAAAAATTCGATCATGGATTACAAGAAAAAACAAACATT